CTACTGAATTCCCATTAATGTTAACTTCATGTCCATGTCTTATATATTCAGTTAACATTTCTGCGTACATAACCGCATAGTCTTGCTTCCTTCAGATCTTTTTGCCCGTCCTTTCCTTTTCTTGGCTCTGGTTAGGGTGACAGTGTGTACAGCATTGTCATTTGGGATCCTGGGCTTGTTCCTCATCCCACACAGAGCACTTTAAGTGCTTCACACTTCAGTGGAGTCCGTTGCTTTGGCCCTTCTCTATCTCCACAATCTGGCTGAAGCATCTATTCTATGCTAAGAGGAGGTCATGTGTGAGTGTGGAGGCCCCAGCTGACCCAAGGCTTTCACTGAGGCCCTCATGTATGGAGAAGGAACACAACTCCTTCTCTGAAACAGGGGAATGTGCTTGGCAGTAGTGGCCTGGGGGAGCTGAGAACACAATACTTCCCACCCCAAGGGGCTATGGTTATCAGTCCCAAGGCTGCTGTGTGCTCAATCTGGGGTGCGCTCGAGACATCTTCTGTTCCCCTTGTGGCTCGGTTAGCTTCCCGCTGGATTTGTCCCATTGTATGATAGCTTGCTGCTGGCACTGTCCCAACTTCCCCCTAAAAACTGTATACAAGGTGCTGAACTTCCTAATAAGCTTCTTTGGCAGAGGACTTAGCTTATGCAAGACCCCCTGACCCCAGATTTCCTATTTTCTTTATCTTCTCCTGGCTCTCTCCTGCTACCGAAGAACAACCTGCTGGTTCAGGTCATGTGAGAATGAATTTAGGATTTTGTCAATACTTTCTCTACGTCTCTTAAGATGCTCATATATGCTTTTCCTCCTTTTATCTGATGATGTGGTAGATTATACCTTTTGTTCCCCTAATATTAAATAATTTTATAATCCTGTGATTAAGCTGACTTCGTCATGATGTACCGTCCGTTCTCCTAAATTACTGGATCCAGTTTGTTGGTATTTTTATTAGAGTGTTGTCATGTATGTTGTAAATGTAATAGGCTTATGATTTCCCTTTTCTTGGAATGTTTTTTTTTTTTATTGGATTTTAGGATAAAAGAGTATTTCTGACATCACAAAAATGAACTGGGGATTTTCTTTCCCTTTTGTATTTGTTGAAAGGGTCTGTGTTAAAATTGGTTCTGTTGCTTCCATTAATGTTGAAAAAGTCACTGGTGACCCTCTGGGCCTCAGGGTTCCCCCAATGTTTCTTCTGAGCTAATTGCAGATTCACCAGTGGGTGTAGACTGAGCGCAGTGAGAGCCTGTGTGCCCATGCTTATAATTCTAGAACTCAGTGGTTAAAATAGTGGCTTATGCACATTTTCTTACACCCTGAAACAACACTACTGTGGTTGCCAAGTGGACCATCACTGCGCACGGACTCAGACCTTCCCGGGCTTTCCTGTATGCCTGATCCATGTGCCTCTCACGGGGGAGGCTCTCTTTCCGGCCAATCAGGGTCTCTATAAGTTGCATTTTCTTATTTGTGCCCTAGAGACACCGAGAGTGTCCCTGTTGTCTGCGTTGGGGAATATTCTGCCCATGGCACACAGAGCAGGGTCTATGGCTCATCAGCCTTGTGTCACTTCTCTTTTGGACTACTCAGAACTACCCCGTCTCATTGGTCACCATTGGCCAAGACTGGTAACCGGCTCTCATTTTAGTAGCTTTGGAAGGGACGAACTCTGAACACCATGAGGATGACGAGTGGCTTCGGAGGAGTGGCAGGGAGGCAAGTAGTAGGAAATTTTTGGACAGACATTTACACAGCAAGATGATACCTGGACATGAGGACCACAGGTGTATCAGTAGCATCTGGCTTTTTTGTTTGTTTGTTTGTCTCACTATGTAAACTTGGCTGGTCTGAGACTTACTATGTAAACAGTCCAGGCTGGCCTTGAACTCACAGAGACCTATCTGCCTCTGCTTCCAACCTGAGTGCTGGGATTAACCATGAATCCATGGGTTAGCCAGGGCTACATAATGAGATTCTGTCTCAAAAAAAAAAAAAAAAGTTTTCCTCCACAGATTCCTAGCCTTCTGCAGTTTGGGAAACTTGGGTCCCAGTCCTGTGTTGGTCCCTTCTGCCTTTCTGGAGCCTGTGTACTTCCCCAGTTCCTTCTGTCCTATATAGACACTCTTGTGTCTGTGTTGGTTATTCTTGGGGGTCATCTTGACTACATCTGGCATGAACTGCAATCCAGAAATGGAGGGCACAGCTGTGATCTGGATCTTGAGGAGGGAGACACACCTTTAACTGGGCCACACCTTCTGCTGGAAGCCTGTGTAAGGACAACAGAAGGAGGGAACTCTTGGTCTTTGCCAGCTTGCCCTCTCTTTGCCAGCACATCCATTCCTTCCCTGGCATTGGGGCCTACTTCTCCAGGAGTTCAGCGTATACAGAAGTCTATCTGTATATGACACCCAGGCCATGGCACTGAGCAACTGCTCTGTTCTTGGACTTCCCATTCACATCTAGTCATTGTTGGCTTGGTTGGACTGCCGCCTGTGAGTCATTCCAATAAATTCTCTCTCTATATCCATAAGTTCGGTGACTCTAGAGAACCCTGACTAACACAATATCTACAGAGATAGGTTCTGGAAAACAGTGGCTGACCAGAGAGTAGATGTGGTTGCAAAAGTGTTCCGGAAATGGGAGGAAGCAAACTGAGGACAGACAATCAGGCGCATGGTGCTCAAACAGTTTTTCTCTGAGTGGCCTCGTTGCCTGGGTCACGATGGGCATTTGGGACATTGGTGAGACACAAGCTCCTGCCGGGTTACATACAGGCAGGCCCTGTAGTGTGCTGCACCCACGGGGTAATAAGAACAGGCTTAGATGGGCCCAGGGGGCAGCGGGTAATTGGTCACTGCTCTCGGTTTCTCATCACGTGATTGCTTTTGGACCGAGCTCAGTGCTCACCATATTGCTGGACTCACCATATTGCTGAAAATTGCTGGACTCTCACTTTCCCACAAGTGTTAATGAGCAGCTCTAGACGGCAGAGGCTGGGGGAACTGAGGTCCAGGCTTTGTGGTATGTGAGTAGATCACAGGGGCCAACGTCCTTTGGTCTGTGGGCTCGGACTGGAGCAAGTTCTGTTGTCCTGAGCCACTGCTTCCATCGAAATGGAGGTTGTTTACGGAGGGGGAAATGGGTCACTATGCTCCACCCCTTTTGAATATCTATGGGCAATTAATGGTTGCCGATGGAGAGTGAGACATTTTCTTCAGTGGAATAGCTCCTGTTGAGGCACCTACAAACACCCCACCCCCATAATCCTGAAAGCAACCCTAGCGAAACTCATTGGGATACACACACATACACACACATACACATACACACATAACCCCACCCCGCACCCATACATACACAACATGAGAGTCGAATGAGGACTAACTGGGAAGAGAAAGAGGATCAGTGGGTCATAGAAGGGGCACCATCGAGGGTAACAGGACGCAAATATGTATACATTATCTACATGCATGGAATATCGTAGCAAATCCTGTTATGCATAATCAGTATATGCTAATTAAAAAAAGAGAGGCTGGAGAAATGGCTCAGGGGTTAAAAGCTTCTGTTACTCTTGCAGAGGACCAGTTTAGTTCCTGGCTCTGCTGCTGGAATGGCTCATGACCCACCTGTGAACCCAGCTGCAGAATATAGGATGCCTTCTCCTGGTCTCTGTGGGAAGCAGCACCCACATGCGCACAGACAATTAGACACACACACACACACACACACACACACTAAACAAACAAAAAACACAAAAAATGAACAAACAAAAACAACCAAAAAAAAAAAACCCCTTAAAGTAAATGGAGATTACAATAACCCATCTCTCCCTGGCTGGTCACAACGCTGGAAATGCATACTTCAGTGCCTAGCTAACGGCCAGGGCAAGGTACTCGGAGCATCAGCAGCCAGCAGTGATTTGGTGTTTATGTTGCCGTGACAGCTTATCGCGTGGGTCAGCTTGGCTGAGCCACTGCTTTAAAACAAATGTTTGCCTCTCCACCCTCCACATCCACACACTGAGACCCAGCCCTTCATGTCATGGCAGTGGGAATTGGTGCCGTAAGGGAGGTATTAAGGGAATCACCTATGATGGAGAACCTGAAAAGAATCTTGGGTCTCGTATATGTCAATTCTCATTTTCACAGCCGCCAACAGACTAGTGCCAAATAGGTAATTTTTTTCCAAGTTTTATTGTAAAATCCTCAGAAAAAGAGCATTGACAATGACCATACTTTATGATAATCTGTGAGTCTTTTTTTTTTTTTTTTTTGTCAAGTGGTACAGTAAATACACCGTGTTTTCAATACCGTGTCATACATCAAAATAAACACAAACTTATTTCAAATGCCACATACTGGTACTGGGTTGGTACAAATTTCTACTAAAGTTGATGTATTAAAAATAATTTATATATATCTTATAAATAAGGAAAAATTCACATGTGTGTAATAATTACAGGCGGCCTTTTGAGGAATACTGATTACAGAAAATATATTTTGGAGTCCACACAACTGCTCAAAAGAATGTAACCTGCCCTGTTGTAGGAGATCCAAAGGTTTTTTTCTGAGGTGGGGAAAGGGTAAAGCTCTTGATGGTGGGTGGGGTTCCACAACTTGAGGGTCATTTGGCAACACAACAGCATGGAACAGTGTGCGACCACTCCAGCAAAACTTCATGCCCAGTTTCACTTTGGGTCATTTTACACAGCCTTCAGGAAGCAGGGCAGCAGCACTGGGGAAGATGGGAGCCATGGGGCCGGGGCAGGGAGGGAGGGCAGAGGAGGCAGGCAGGGGTGTGTGTGTGAGTGTGGGGAGCTGTCATGAGGGTAAGCCATGGGAGATGGACTGTCACTGGTCATTAAGTTGAGCTTGGAAAGAAAGGTACACAAGCGTGACTCTGTATAAAGGGCAAAAATATCCTAGGTGCATCGGTGCTAAAAAGTCTCGCTCTGAATTCTGGAAGTCCGTTTCTTCCCTCCCTCCCTCCCTATATATCCTACAATTTGACCCATTGTGTTTGGTTGAGTTACACTTCCTCAAAGTGTAATTAAATGCCCAAAGAGCCAAAGGAGAATATGGAGGCCACTTGCTTATTATCTCTAGGGGTCTGTTGGGAAGTTGATGCCCAAGCTCACAGGCCCAGCCAAGTCACCCAGGTCCTCAGGTTCTGGAAGTAAACAAGAAGTGGGTTACCTTCCACCTGCCCCTTGGCATCTGTGGTCACCCCTTTCGTGCCTTGCTCCCGCTGGATCTTTTAAGTATCCCACTCATCACCCTTGTGGTTGTGGAGAGAAACCAAACAAAGGCAGTCAGTGATGTTCTTGAACAAAACTGCTTTGCCTCTGTGGTGGCCTGGCTGCAAATGGTAGCATCAGGTCTGTGAGTGACTTCTCACCTGAACCCTCAAAGCAAGGAGCGCTTGTGGGCAAAGGACACGTGACACTGATGTGATAGAGAGTTGTTGCTCCTTGAAGGAGGGCCACCACAGGGGGACTCATGAAGGAAGGAAACCAGGAAGAGAGAGAATGAAGTGGGAGCAGAGAGAGGTTGGAGAGGGTGGCCTGCCTAGCATGACACAGGGCTGAAATGAAACGTCACCAGTGCTCTCATTGCTGGACAAGGGTCCTTCCTTCTGACCACCCGGACGGTTCTTTTCTCTAGTCTCCAGATCCTAACTCTGTAGAACTGAGAGCTAGGGTCTGGGCTGTGATTCCAGACAGCAAGGTGCTGTCACATGGGTTCTGATCACACATGAAGCAGGACGAGGGGTGAGGCCTGTGGAGCACTTCCTGGTCTTCCGTCACCTCTGGCCTCCTGGGGTGGCATTCTAGGGGTGCTGGGTGCCTGGGAGGAAGATGTGAGGTAGATTGGTGGGTGTGCAGGAGGGAGGGGGTGGCGGCGGCAACAGTTCTCCAGGAGGCTTGCTTCTGGAAGGGAGGGTTGGAGATAGCTGTGGTGTTAGCGAAGATGATTCAGCATCGGTAGTATTCAAATGAAACACATGAAAAAAAAAATGAAGCGACTACACTTTAGCTCGTGGTACAAAAATATATCCAGAGTGAATCTGTTTTCACATCTCAGTTCTGAGATCTCCCGTAGTTCACAGGTTATTGGTCAACAGACAGACAAAGATGCGGTTGTACAAAGCCAACTCCTGGCTGCTTAGCTGAATGAAGACTCAGAAGTTCCCATGCTCTGTGGCAGAGAGCTGTTGCTCTTGGCTTTGTTTGGGGTTGCAAGCCGCCTTCCTGGGGTGTCTCTCTGCAGTTGGAGTCCTTTCCTGAACAGAGGAGCAGGCAGAGGGGGAGATAGCGCAGTGTGGGGAGGTACGGAGCAGAGGAGCTGAACTGCCTTCTCTGGAGGTGCTCGCTCTCTCTACACCAAAGAACCTACGGCTTGGCATTCGTGTTTCATCCTGGCCACGACTTCAGGCTGTTTCCAGCCTCCCCCTGGGATTCAGGAAGGCAGCAGGATATTTGTGTGGTTTGGGGACTGAAGAGATCCTGTTAGATCCCACCCTCAGGCCTGCTTGGACAAGAGGGTTACAGACTCAGTCAGGCAGGAAGTCTCTCTTCCACGTATTCCTAGGTAGCTGGGTAGGATGTTCAGAGGGAGGCCTTTGGGGCAGACAGAAAGCCAGTAGCTACAGGTGCATAGGTGTTTGTTTTTCTGGAAAGAAAAGAACTGTTGAATGGTTATGTCATCAGTCAAATGTTAAGAACTAGGGATGGGGTTTATGTAAATATCTTTCCTGGTGACTTTGTTGGTTGAACCAGTCCTCCCTGGGGAAACTGTTAGTTGGTAATCTTTGTGTTCCTCAGAGCAACCCCCACAGGCTGGGCTTGTTGCAGGAGACCTGCTTGTGTTGCCGTCCTCTGCCAGTGAGCTTTGAACTGTACACAGGAGTCTCTTCTGGCCCCGAAGTGGAGAGAGGGGAAGGTTTCCCTGTGGTCTTCTGCCTTCCACTACTGTGTCCCTGCCAGGGAGCCATCCCACTTTTGTGACTGCAGCTACTGACATCGGACTAGGCTTCAGGCTTGTGAGTTCTTGCTTTAACTGTATCCGTGCATGCAGGTCACTGGGCATATGCTGGCTGTCTCCAGTAATTCTCCCAGAAGAAAAGAGAAATGTGGGATGCCTTCCAGGTATATGCAGAGAGAGGTGTGTGTGGGAACATGGCCAAGTAGCATTCCTGCTTTCATTCAGTTTGGTGGACTAGGTTGGCCTTTGATTCTGGAGTCCTGCATCCAAAGAGGGTGAGTACTCTGGCTTTGATGGGGTGGGGGTGGGGGATGGTGCTTTGCCTCTTTGAGGCTCCAGGATCCTTCTGCTTGAAGCAGATGCTATTCTTCCAAAAGGAGAAATTTGTGAACATTGGAAGGTGTTAGTTAAAACAGACTCTGGGAATCCTATCAAGAATCGGAGGCAGATAGAAAAAGGGGAATATATGTCCTCGTCTACCCAGGTGTGATGCTAACCATCAGGCCCCTGAGCTCGGCATCCTCAACCTGTGTGTGCCTTGTCATCACCCAAATCTGAAACATGATAGAATATGTAACAGGTAAATGCCTGGGACTGTAAGGGTCAGCTGTCTAGTGGACTAAGAAGACGAGGGACAGGCTGGGCTAATGCAGGAGACTGGAATGGGCAAGGCGGAACGGAGTACTCACGAAGGAAGCGGGAGTGAGGTGCGGTGTGTATTTTCAGTCATGCTGGTAGATGAAAGCGGCTAAGTTGGCTGAAGTGTGGGGGCTGGACCCGCTGTCTCAGCGCTGTAGGGTTTGCAGACTAAATCATGCAAGTGAGAAAGCAGGTATGGTTTGGCCACCGACATGGCAGGGGACGGGAGTGTTCTGAGAAACCTGGGTTGGGAGTCTCTTTCTTGCTGAAAGCCTCTGACACAGGTGGTCCCCATAGGCTGGCTGGGTTGTGCCTCTTCCTGCTGGCTCGAGAGCCTACCACAGGCAGAGGGAGGAGGGACTGACACCGTTCTTTGTGGGTTCTACATTTGTGGACAGTGTGTAGACTGGGATGTGGGAATGAAAACCGGGAAGAGGGCTCTCTTGCAGTGTGGCGACAGGCGCCGAGGCATCGGTGCCTCGGGCTCAAGGAGAACCACAGCCTTAGGACTCTGGATGGATGGCACTATGGCGTCTAGATTTTGGCATCAAGTCCAGAGGCTGCTTACCCCTTGCCTAGCAAGGCTGGTCTGCCCTGGGTCTGGACTTCTGCTGGTACATTAGGCTTCCTTAATAACGAGTTGCCTTTCCATGGTGAAAAGCAGGCACACAGGGCTCAGCTTGCTCTCTTGGGGGTCCCAGCATAGATTTTAACCTGATAGTATGGGCCGCACTTGGGCCAACACAATGGTATGGATCCGCTATTTCTTGGATGTCAACTTTTTCTGCCTGGGGTGGGGGTGGGAGATGTAAGGTGGGGACCCTCTTCCTTCAGAGACTTGGCCTAAGGCAGGAAAGAATACATCCAGACCTTGGAGAGCGTCTCTCTGCAGCCTGGCATCTGCGATATAAAAAAAATTAGTTTTAATAAAAAAAAAAAAAATTTCAAAATAAAGTGAGTGATTTCCCCACTCCCCAGGATGTAGTAAGTCTCAGAGGCTCTCCCTCAGGGGTGTAGAGCTCAGCTGGTAAAGCAAGCAAACAGCGGCGTCCGGGATGGAGCAAGTAGGGTCCCCAGCCCTCCAAGAGGGACAGCTCTGCTCAAGCCGGCCGCTCAGGCCACTCCTTTGGGGCGCAGGCTGGCTGGGGCTGGCAGGTTAGGATCAATGACTATGTGAAGGCAACCGACGGAAGAAGTGTCTGCCCGGGCAGCAGGGTCCCTCAGCTCTGCGGTGTCCCCAGGCGACGCGGCATGCAGCCGGGCACGGAGATGACTTTCCCCGCACACAGCAGCAAGTGTTCTCGTCACAGCTCAAGGCGTCAAATCATACTTCTGAATGAAAACCCCCCAATCTTGGTGGCAGCGCATACCTTATGCTAGGGAACTTGCAAGGAGATCAGTGTCGAACCACAAAGCGAAGTACAGGGTTTGTTTTTTTTTTTTTTTTTTTTTTCTTTTTCTTTTTCCATTTTTTTTCTTTTTTCTTTTTTTTGTCTGTGAAAATGTACAGCACGCCAGGTTGGGGCTGCGGTGTGAGAACTGGGATGGTACTCCTGGACCCAGGGTTCCTTACCTTTCATACCTCCCCGACCCACACCACTGTGGATGCACCCTTTACGCCTGACACCTCGCACCTCAGAGCGTTCTGTCTCCCGTTGATCAGGAAGAGCGACTCTTGAGCTGGCGTGAGGAGGTACTGCCCAAAGAGCCCGCTGTCCCTCAGGACTCTGCGGGGCCCACCCCAGGGTGGGGCTGGCCCAGTGGGTAGCTCCTTCAAGTTCTTCAGCCTGCCCATCTTCCCAGTGGACAGCTCCAGGAACAGCAGCTCTGGCTCCTTGTCCAGGGTGGCGTAGGCGTTGTACTGGTTACCTTCGGTGAAAGAATGCTGGAAGGTCAAGTCCGAGACACCTGGGTTTATTTTTAGATCATAGAGAGTCTGGAGTTCCCCTCGCACGGTGGCCTCCTGCACATGCAGCCAGGGGCCCTTGCTGGAGACACTGACGATGAAGCGTCCGTCCGGGGACACGTGGGGGGTGCCTGTGATGTCGCTGTTAGGGCCCAGCACTGCATCTGTGACGCTGTCAATGAGCAGCTGGGGGCCGGTGGACGTGGGGGTGTCCTGTTGGCATTGCACGAAGAAATAGCCGCCGAGGTGGGTGTGTGCCATGGCCTGAGGCAGGCAGCCATGGTGCTGCAGGCTGATGGTCTTGAGGGGCATCAGAGTCTCCAGGTCAACTTTGTGGACTGCAGAGGCAGACTTGTTGAAGACGAAGCCAAACCTGGGAAGAGAGCAATGGGGGTCAGGGAGCAGGAGGCCATTGTGAGGGACAGGGGACCTGTCACTTGTTTTAAATGATGGCATCCTAACCCTCCGGCCATCTAATGGTCTCTTAATAAGATCTGTCATTCTGCAGGAGATGCTTCCAGGAGTCAGCCAGCCACACTCTTCAGCCACCTCCAGACTAGGTCAAAGGATTCGTGGATTTGTGTGTTTGCAAAACCCACCCACTTGCAGAAAAAAATGCTTTTGAAGGGAGGGGGAAGGGCCCTCCATGGCTTCTCTTTAGGGGTGCCTCTGGATTACTTCCCTAGCTTGTGTTAGTGTGAGACCTGGTCTTGCAGGGTGGGTGTGGAGAGAAAGACTTGAGATGCACTTCTCTTGCCTGGCTGTCCGAAGGATGCTCCTGGGCTACGTCAGGATTTGAAGACACAGATGCAGCAAACAAGGAGAGAACCCCTTCTCTGTAGCTCTGTGTGTTGGGGTAGGGGAGCACAGTGCAGTCTTCCCTCTGGCATTCATAATGAGGGCAAGAAGAACCTTGCTTGACTTCCGCCTCAGAAGTACATGACCAGGTGCTGCTGTAATGCCCTTTGGCTACAGTGCCTAGGACAAGCTGCTTGCCCCTCTGAGTGTCAGGGACCCTTAAGAGGCCTGTCCTTCCCCAGGGTGGTTGGGAAGACTAGATCTGAGGGGGAGCTCGTGCGGATGGGAGGTGGTTACACCTGGCTTACTGAAATTCTGTTGGAGACTGCCTGCAAGTATGGAAAGGTCTGACTCCAGGTGGCATTCTTTCTCAGAGATCCTGCGCCTCAGAGCCTTGATCCCAGAGGCCTTCAGTGCTGAATGAGCCTAAAGGAATGGGAGAAATCCCTGTGTCTATAATTTCCTCTTGAAAAAAAAAAAACAAAAAACCGACAACTGCAGAGCAGGCAAAATGCCCCAGGCGTTGACTTTAAAGCCTCCTTTAAAGAACCAGAGGGAGAAAACGGCGCTCTTAACAGGAACTTGAACTCAAGAGCCACTCAGGAGCATATAAGCCTGAGCCTGTACCACTCCTGTCTGAATCCAGCGTCCTGGTGAGGGCTCATGAACCGTTCAAGCTCTGAGGCTCTGCAGGAAAGAGGTTTTTAGGAGGCTTCTGTCCTCTTTGGGTCCTTAACACTGGCGTGCAAAAAAAACCCCAAACCATTTCTTCCTGGAGATACATATATCAGTTCACAGAGGCATGTATAGTGAGCTCTCCAGGGTTTGGATGACACAGCAGGGGAAGTTTACAGAGCCTGGGGGTGCTCTGTGAAATCAGGAAGGAAGGGGAGTGGCCAGTCCCTAAAGGATCTGGGTTTCTCTGTGTCAGAGAGTGGTTCTCTATCCAAAGATAGACCACGGGGTAGCAGGAGGGAGAAAGGGGAGTTGGTGCCACCGTGGGCATGGCTGCCCAGGTAGACTGGAGCTGGGTACGGCCTGTAGAGGCGTGGTAGACCAGTTACCTGATATGGTTGATGATGAGATTTGTTGGGGGTATAAAGAAATCGTCCACTCCTGCAAATGGCGTTCGGATGAGGTGCTGTCCCTGGCCAGCGCTGGCTTCTGTGATCACCTGTAACAGAGAGAGGGGTTCTTGTGGGGGCCATTCAGGAGGGGGTCGGAGATCTGGACATGAGCATGTTCAGTTGTAGACCTCACAGATGGGCTTCTGGGGGAGAGAGATGGCGGGAAAGCCCTAGTCTTAGGGAAGGGACGAGAGCCACGTGGGCATTTCTTAACAACATGGAGATCAGGCATCTGTCCTTCCTGTGCAAGGAAGTGGGGAGACTGGAGAGAAGGCCAGACTGGCCACTCCCTCCTCTGTTAGACCAGGCAGTCTGCTTCTTGTCAGCCTCCAGGAGGGTCGGGTGAGGACCTAGGGAATGGCGCTGGGGTTTCCAGGAAGATTCCATCCGCTTCCTAACAGTGGACCTCAATGTCTTCATCCCTGCGCAACCTCAGGCAAAGAGGGAGAGAGCTCTGGGCAAAGGCCTGACGTGCTAGGCAGTTGACATATTTAGTGTTTTGTGTATGTGCACAGCTGCATGTGTGCTAGTGGAGGCCAGAGGTCAACCTGGAGCATCATTTCTCAAGGCCCGTTCATTTCCTGTGTTTGAGCCAAGATCTTTCACTGACCTGACCTGTAACTCATCAAGTAGGCTAAGCTGGCTGGCTAGTACGCCCCCGGGACCTGCCAGTCTCCACCTTCTCAACACTGGGCTTACAAGCATGTATCACCATGCCTGGCTTTTTTTTTTTTTTTTTTTTCTTTTTAAAGTATGGGCTCTGGGGATTGAACTCAGGCCCTCATGCTTGTATGACAAGCACTCTGACTGAGCCATCTCCTTAATCTGGAGTTTATTTTCTTGAATGCATGGCTTTCTGGCAGAGTCTGCCCTGCGTTGCTCTCAGAATGCGGAGACCCCAGAGTTGGTGAGAGAAAGCGGCCTCCCGCAGGGCTGTCACTTAGACCACCAGGGCGTCTTGTAATGTGACCCTGGCTGTGCCAGAGGGACTTGTTTCTTAATGAAAAGATGTTGGTCCTGGGCTTTGCACAAACCGGGGCATGGCTGCCTCTGTTGCCCCACAGGTAATGCTTTCTGCCCTGCAGACTTGGCAGAAAGCGGGCACACTTGGCAGAAAGTGTGTCCCTGTGGTGTCGAGTCAGGGCAAGGCTAGCTCCAGACAGAGCTACATGGTGGAAGAGGTTAGACAGGACAAGCCAAAACTGGGTGCCTCGTGTGAAACCACTTGGCTAAGGGCCAACCCAGGTATCCCATGCTCCCCTGCCTTCTGCACACGATCACTGATCTTGTAGGTTCTAGGCCACTGCCCAGAAACAGGCAGATCTGCACTACAGTGTGTGCTTGGCCGGCTCGTAGGCAATTTTAGCTCGAAGGACAAGAAGCAGATTCTCAACTCTCAGCTAGGGAGAGGAAATATTTTTTAATGATTATATTGTGGACTTGGAAGTCACAAAAGAAAAAAAAAAAAAGAAAAAGAAAAAACTAGGTTTCGGCAATCCAGTGGCAGCCTGCAGGACAAGGAAAGTCTCGGATGGGCCTGCTGCGTGCCCAGCTTGAAACACTGAATACTTTTGTCTTTTAGGAAAAGAACTGCCTTCTAGCTTTCACTTTCATGACAAAACACACAACAGCTGGCTTGCCTGTTCAGGCAGGCTCGAGGCCGGAGTCTTTCTGTACCCGCACACTAGCCTTGAGAGTGGGGGATGTCAGCAGGCAAGACGCTGGAGCACAGGGAACCACGCTGTGATTTCTACTCTCCGGGTGGTGTTTTTGAAGTCGCACGGAGTGTATTTTGCTGTGATTTTTCTATTTAACAAATGGCAGGATGATGCTTTCCTGCCAAGTCCACAGGGGCGGGGGCCGGGGGGGAAGCTCATAGAACTGGGCATTAAGAAAATACAAGGATTGGAAACGGAGTCGCAGAGAGTCCCTGGGAAATGTGGCCGAGGACTCCAAGGCAGCGTGTAATTGCTCCTTGATACCAGGCCTGTCACTTCAGCTTCTGGTAGAGATGGGAAATTACAGGCTGCCATCACTCAGTGCCACTTGCGCTTCACCACCCAGACAGCCTATATTCAGAGGTGGCTTCATCAGGCCCAGCAGCACAGACCATTGAGCCGGCGTGGCAGGCCAACTTTATTTGCCTGAGCCCCAAGGTTCTTCTTGCCCTGCTCTTGTGCGCACAGCTGAGCCCACAGATGCTCTACAGACCCCTGGTTCCGTGGGCTCAGCCTAGGAGAGAGTCACAGCTGGCACAGTAGCATGAGGTGTTACCTGGATGGGAGGGAGGGAGGGGACAAGAAGGCTGGGCATCTCTCTTAGGTAGGTGGACATTGCCAACTGAGAAGTAACATCTTAGAGGGGAGAGGTAGAGGCCACTAAAAGCCGGGCCTGGGGTAAGAACACGGGGGACCTGGTGGTGATGCCTCATGGTCACAAGTGGTTGCTGAGGAGAGCGTGGGAATGAGCTTCATGCGTGGGATCACCGCGGAAAAATGTAATAAATCCCTGAGTGATGAATATTTAGAAGGGATGGTAGGATGCTTCCAACGCTTTACAAACATCGACAGCGTGGTCTGTACCTGTAGTCTTTTTTTCATCGCCTGAGTTTTGGATGTGGGGTACAGGGATCTCACTACGTATTCCAGGAGTTGTGGGGTCGTAGGTGTGCTTTTCATCTATATCTAGGGTTATTTTCTTATTAGGTTACTCTGAGAGTGTGTGTGTGTGTGTGTGTGTGTGTGTGTGTGTGTGTGCATGCACACATGGGTATACAGAGTCTGGAAGGAGGCATCAGATCTCTGGGAGCTCGAACTGTAGGTGGTCATGGGCCTCCTGATGTGGATGCTGGGAACCAAACTCGGGTCCTCTGCACCAGCGGCAAGGACTCTTAGATGCTGAGGCCCCTCTGCGGCACTCAGGTTACCTTTCCGTTATCAGATTATTACAGTCTGGGACATGTAATTCTACAAAACCTCTGACGCTTTCCTTAGATTAATGACACACTTTTGTATCTGTATGCATGTGAACGAATTCTGCCAGATGAAATGCTTCCTATATATTAAATTCAGCTCCTTGTCCGTGTTGATGGATTTTCTCAGGTGTTATTTTCTCTACGTGGTATGTACAATTCAGGCCCATCTTTGATCAAGCTGTATTATATTTAATCACTGCTTTATGCATTTAGTTACGTTGTCAGGCACAGCTATTCATCATCATGAAAGTCTCGCCTGCTGCCCACCGCTTTTAAACTTGAAGCCACCTCACCCGGTCCTACTCACATCCCGTCTCGCGAGCATCCCTTTGATCAACTGTTATCGCTGTTTCAAGCCTGAGGTCCCTCCTTTTATTTCTCCTGTTTTTCTTTCATGTCTCCCCCTCCCCCCCTCCTGGTAATGGAGACCGAATTCAGGACCTTGGGTGCAGTAGGGAAGCATTCTAGCATGGAGCTGCATCCTAGTCCCTTTAACTCAGAAATGCATGCGTGGGCATGTGCGGGCCAGAGGACGTGGTCCACCGACCCTTTACAAATTAACATATGTTTTAGATATTATTTTTATGTGCACGGGGGTTTGCCTGTTTCTATGGGTGCTCACCATGGGCATGCCTACGGAGGTCAAAAGAGAATGTCAGATCCCCGGGAGCTGGGGTTAAGGATCGCTGTGAGCCACCGGTGCTCTTAGCCTCTGAACCACCTCTTTAGTGCCACACCCACCTTAGTTATTTTTGAGACTGTATCTTGACCTGGCCTGGGATTTGCCATGTAGACTGGACTGGCTGGCTAGAGGGTCCCAGGAATCCTCCTGCTTCAGTCTCCCCAGACCCCCCCCCCCCGCAGCTTTAAAAACCTATTTTTGTGTGTGAACGCGCAGGGATGAATGTGGAGGTCAAAGAACGACTTTGGGGAGCCAGTTTTTCTCCTCCTCCTGTGAGCTCTAGGGATGGAATTCAGTGGTTGAGCTTGTGCCAAGACTGTCTTTTCTCACTTAGCCATCTTGCTTTTTTGTGGGTTTCGGTGGTGTCGGGTCCCAGTGTTTGTAACACAAGCTCTTTACCTATTGAGCTAGCTCTCTGCCCCACTTCTTGTCTTTTTCTGAGGTTAAAGGCTAAGTTGCCCAGGCTGGCTCTGAATTCACTTTACCATCCAGGCAGGCCTTGCCCCCTCCCTCTCTCCTTCCCTCTTCAATAGCTATGATTACAGGCCAGTGTCACTAGGCTTAGCTTACATTTCTTAAAGACAATTATTTCTAATGTTTTTCTTTTTTATTCCCAATAGAATCATCCTATCTATTTATTTATGAATGACAGGGTCTCTCTCATGTAGCCAAGGCTAGCCTCAAATTCACTGTGGAGCCAAAGATGACCTTGGACTTCTGATCATCTTGCCTCTACTTGCCAGGTTCCGACACTGCAGGAATGCACCACCATGTATAACTTTCTGTGGTGCTGGGGGCGGAATCCAGGTCTTTACGCTTGCCAGGGAAGCACATTGCTGACAGTCATAGCCACGGCACATCTCTGCCCCTTCTTATTAAAAGCAGGTGCCGGAGAGATGGCTCAGCGGTTAGGAGCACTGGCTGAACTCTCAGAAGACCAGGGTTCAATTCCCAGTACCCACGGGTCAGCTCATAATTGTCTGTAATTCCAGTTCTAGGGGATCTGACACCCTCACACAGACATACATGCAGGCAAAGCAGGAATGCGTGTAGAAAGGAGATATTTGGAGAAATGGGATAGTCACACCCCAACCTTTTCATCACCCTTCTTTTCCTGAGAAAGACTTGCATTTTTACTCTGTTCTGCCTCTACCCACTCTTGGTTATAATGAATTACATTTACTATTGTATTATTATCTATTTCTTCAGCACCCAACTCTTGCAGCATTATTTAGCACACAAACATTTCAAGGTGCTTTCCGCCTCAGCCCTGTCTTAGCCCTCTCCCCTCTCTGCCCCTCAAGGCTGTGCTCCCTTCCGTCTCTCCACTAAGGCAATGTCTTCGGTCTGGCTCATCGGATGCTTGATTTGTATCTTCTGTTGATGTTCTCCCAGGCTTCTTAATGCTGGGCCCTGGGTGCTTACGCATGCCCTTCTGTCTTCCTCTGGGACAGATGTGTTGAAGCTCAGTTTTTTTCCTCTTCCAACCACGTAGATGTGACTCGTGGCCCTCAGGCTACGGTTGTGCGTGAGAAGTCTAATGTCAACCCGACTGTCCGTCTTATATGGGTGATTTGTCTTTTTCAGCCCCAAAGGGCCTTCCTTGTCAAGAGTTTTCTTTCTTGGAATTGCAGAATTTTACTAAAAAGTGCCAAGAGATCTATTACTTGTCATCACTTTAGAATGGGATTCGTAGAGCCCTCTCTTTGAGAATGACCATATGTGCCTGAGCCATGTGTGGGGACCAGAGGACAACTCTGAGGAGCCAGTCCTCTATGTCCATGTTTACTCAGCTACCAGGGATTTGAACCTGGGCAGTCAGGCTTGTGTGACAGGCACTACTCTCTGAGCCCTTTCTCCAGCCCTACATCTCTTTGAACCTGCATGATTTCAGTTTTTTTTTTTTTTTTAACTCAGCAGTTATATTCCACATTTGTTTGATTTCATTTTAGATAGTCTACATCACCCTGGTTGTCCTGGAACTCCTGGGCATCCTTCTGCCTCAGTTGCTGGGTGCTGGGATTGTAGGTGGGGTCTATGTACTATGTACTATGCCTAGCACATTTAATATTTGATCTATTCCAACTGTGACTTTCCTTTCTCTGAATGTTAAGGGATCCTGTTCCACATCTCCAGCTCTTCATAGGTTTTCTCTTCTGAGAAGATTTTCTTCCTCTTTCAGGTTACTTCATAGAAATGCATTTTTTCCCCCCTAAACCACTGCAGTTTTAAAAACTGGAAAGCCAGGTTTGTTCATTGTTAGTAACAAGACCCATATTCTGGTATTCCCTCCTTGAATTTCACGCTTAGCATTCTCAGGAAACCTGTCCCTCCGTGCTTTGGATGTGCCATGTCCCCCATCTGGTGACACGGAGAAGCATCACTGGTGGAAATGGGTTGCTGGAGGGAGGGCCTTGAAGTGTACAGCCCGAGTTTGTGTCCATACTCTGCATCCTATCCCACTGAGGTGTAAGCGGGCAGCGGCCTCTTCCCCCTGCCACCCCCAGGAGGCACACCTGCTGCGGTGCCTGCCAGGCTGTGATGGACTTTCCTCAAGACCGCAATTCAAAGGGCATTTGATGGCAGGGAAAAGTGAGTTATTCAGTCCCCTCTAGCACTCTCATCTTCTGGTCTCAGTGACCTTCATTTTGGCTCCCAGAACCTTTGATAACACCCTTTTGTTTGATTGTCAGCTACACTGGAGCCGGGTCTGGTATCTTGCCCTTGGGTCCAGGAACAGCTGAGAGGAGAACAGGACTGATTTGTCTCCGTTCAGTTCTGTGGGTTCTACGAGACCACTCAGCCCTGTTGGCCCGAGTCATTCATTTGCATGGAATGAGTCACGGCCTCCCCTGCATTGGTGGTTCTGTGCACTGCTTTTTAGCAGGCCTGAGGAGCGTACCACATGACTTTTTCACAGGGCTTAGTGGGTCCCTGGGGAGAGCTACAGGGCCAGCCGCATCCCAGCCAGGTAGTGTGAAGCTTCCCTAGCTGGGATGGGGAGTATTGCTACAGAGCAGTGGAGCCCAACCTCTTCTCAGGAGGCAGGGGTACGGGTAGGGGCTTCAGGCCCGTGCTGGCTGGGCCAGCACCACGAGCAAATCTCAGAACTGTTCGTGGCTTGGCACCCTGTGAGCTCTGGGTGCCCTTCTCTGTGGTTTAAGCACGTGGGCTGCTTGCTCCCGTTTATTGGTTGGAACTACGGCTTCAATACAGTCTGTCTCCACCAAATTCATTTTGGGGCGTGGCCTCCAACGTTATGGTTTCGAAAGGTAGTGGGACCTTGAGCTCTATTGGTCTATGAATCTCTGTCCTCCAGAAGGGATTAATGCCGTCCTTCCAGGACGGGTGAGTTCTCACCAGGACAGGTCAGCACCTCATGCCTGTCTCTCCTCACTCGCTGGCCCATGTGCCCCTTTCACGTACATCTGTTCCCCTTTTGGACATGTCCATCACGACGGCACTGCACCACCCCCGCCTATGGTCTCTCACAAGAAGCTGACCAGGAAGAGCTGCTTGGTTTTAGGTAAAACCATGAGAGAAAATAGGTCTTTTCCTTTATAAATCACACGGCTTCAGGTATGTCGTTGTCATAGCAATAGAAAACAAAGGTAAAGAACCCACATTTATGACTTGATTTAACACCACTCTCTGGATGGTCTATTCATTCCAAGAGAAGAAACTCTTATCTTCCTTTTTGCTCTAGACTCTAGAGGCTTATCCTATTTGGCTCCAAGAGTTACTGACTCAGGAGAATCAGGTATGGTGGGGCTAGGTAGGGGATGAGCAGTCATGAAATTAGAATTTGGTCATTTTACATTGTTTTCGGTAGCAGTCCTGGTTGAAGAAACTCTGTGGACTGCCTAGTGAGAACATCGCTTGGAAGCCATTTCTCATTTTCTTCTTCTGCTGTGCTAAAACACTCTGACTTACGGCGACTTAGGAAAGAGGAGGATTTATTTAGTTCACATTTCTGAGTCACAGTTTGTCTCTGAGGAAGTCAGCATCAGAATCCAAGGAGGAGCCTTGGTGGTCCACTGCTTGCTGGCTTGGGTACAGGCTCAGGTTTGGCTAGCTTTCTCACACAGCCCAGAACTGCCTGTATAGGGGATGGTGCCTCCCACAGCGGGCTTGATCCTGCTATTTCAATTAATAAACAAGACTATTTGCCCATGGACATGCCTATGGGACAATCTGTCTACAAGGTTTCTCAACTGAAAGTTTCTTCTCAGGTGACAGGTAAGGCTTACTAATACTGCCTGTTTCCTGCTTTCTTCCTGAGCCTTTGTGGGAATGGTTTGGAAAGATGGTCATCCAGAAAAGCATGAGACAGTTACTTTATAGCAGTAGAATCCTCTATAGGCCGAGTGTCGGCTTTAACATGCTCAACATACCTGCAGGCTTGGTTGGGACTTATGCATGTCCCCCCAGCTCAGGACCCACACTTGGTCATGCGATTTGTCATACAACAGCTTAGCTGGCAGAGGGTCCACACCTATGGACTTGAAAAGAAATAGTGACAGGTTGGTCATGGCTGAAGTTACAGATGATGTGATGGCCATTTATGAATGTTTGTGTATGTGTGTATATGGTTATCTCACCAGGGGGAGTTAGGAAGCTGGCCTCCAACCCTTGCCAATAATCCTGATTGGAAACCCCCGTGTAGAAGCCTTCCCATGGCCATTGTCCTCAGAGGACAGAAGGACTTGTTGAGTTGTCTCTTTGAAGCTCATATTTTACCTAAAGTATCCTAGGTCCAACTTGGATGAAGACTGAACACAGAGGTTTTCTGAATTCCACTCAAGAATCAGTTCCAGGGGTTGCTTTTTAGTCTTCCTAGAAGTCTTGGGGGCCTCTTGGACCCTTAGCATCTACTTGGGTTCTAGTGAGTTGGCCCTCCCTTCCCCATGGGTCATGTGAGGTGGATTTTGAGATTGCTTGTGGCTACCCACCTTTTACCTTTGTCCCGCTCTGTGCAGCCTCTAGATCACACATCCATCAGCACTCAGACTACAGCATCAGGCAGCAGCATGCTGTTTTCTCCTTTTTATAGCGTAGATTTATTTTTCAAGTTAAAAATTATGTGTATGTTGCATGTGAATTCAGGTGATTGTGGAAGTCAGAAAAGGGGGCTTTGGACCCTCCTGGGGCTGGAGTTACAGGTGGTTGTGAGCCTCCTAACGTGGGTGGTGGGAACCAAACTTGGCTCCTGTGCAAGAGCAGCAAGCATTCTTAACTGCTGAGCCATCTCTCCAGCTCCACAGTATAGTTGCATGTTACGAAACTGTTCCTTGATGGTTATGCTGCTGGGCAGTATAACCCCCATGCTCAGTGAAGATGCTGACACAAGGTTCTCTGCCATCTTTTCTGCCCATTTGGCTACCAAGTTTGATGTCTTCAAATCTATATGAATGAACCCTGTTTTATTTAGGATTACATTGCTGTGACAAAACACCATGACCAAAGCAACTTGGGGAGAAAGGAGTTCATTGGGTTTACACTTCCATAGCACTGTTCATCATCAGAGGAAGTCAAGGCAGGAACCCAACAAGGGCAAAAACCTGGAGGCAGGAGCTGATGCACAGGCCATGGAGGGATGCTGCTTACTGGCCTGCTCCCTTTGGCTTGCTCAGCCTGCTTGCTTATAGAACCCAGGACCATCAGCCCAGGGATGGTACCACCCACAATGGGCTGGGCCCTCCCCTATTGATCACCAGCTAAGAAAATGGCCTACAGGCAGCTTGCCTATGGGCCATCTTATGGGGCATTTTCTCAGTTGAGGTTTCTTCCTCTCAGATGGCTATAGCTTGTGTCAAGTTGACACAAAACTATCCATCATATGTCCCAAAGCCTCACTTTCTCCATGGTTTCAATGGCTTTTCTTCCACTCTCTTGACCACCATAACTTCTCATAACTCATTAGCATAAATTCTGAAATTTCAGTTTCATCTACATTTTGGCCTTTTTAGTGAGGTGGAGGGGGAAAAAAAAACCCAGATCATCTCTGTCCACAATGGCCCAAACCTCACTAAATAACTCTCTTAAGCCCCCTACTTCTCATTTTCACTTCCATCCCTGCAGTGAGGTATCCTAGACCTCCTTAAGAGTTAGGGGTCACTTCAGTACCCTCTGCTTTACATTACAGGAGTTAACGTCCTCACCATCCCCTTTTAGAAATACTCCATTTGACCTCCTGGTTTTTCCATGCCCTCCTTTACTTCCTCCTAACTGAGAGTTGGCATGTCCCAGAGCTTCTTCATTGACCCATCTACATCCTTCACATCCTTCCACTGGTATCGCATTCTGATAACCTGTTGAAGGCCCCACCCTAATGTACAGAACTGAACTTGTAGTTTTGCTCACTCAGCACCGTCCTGAAATGTTTTTCCTTTCTTCCCCGCTATCACTGAAGCCCCACTTCACTTTCTTGTTCTAGTTGATATCTCCAACACACAGAAGTCCTGAGGAGACGCTCTAAATGCTTTCCAAGGCCCATGCGAGCCCAGCGTGTTCCCCGCTTCCTGACCACTGCTTTCCTTACTGTTTCACTTTCCTATGGACTGGGTTTTGTAATCCACCAGGAGACACAGCTCAAGTGTTTCTGGAGAAGTTTAGCTGAGGAGAGAAGACTGTGGGCTGTACCTTCCACAGACGGGACCAAAGACTGACTGAAGAGGGAAAGTGGGTAACTTATTTTGAGCGTTAGCATTCACCTCTCTCCCTCCTGTCTGTGGACTCAATATGACCAGCCACTTCACACTGGAGGCTCATGCTGCGATGGCAGCGGACTTGACTCTGAAACCTCGAGCCAAAATACACCCGTCAGTCTTGTCAGGCATTTGCTCGCAGCAACAAGACAAGTACCTAACACACTTAACAAAGGTTTTGGTACCTGCCACGCTCCTACCCAGAGCTTTCCATCCCATGGCCGTGCGGCCATCTTAGGATGTCCGTTTCTTGATTGTTCTCTTTGAAGATCCTTCTCCCACATTCCTCCTCTGGCACATGTCCCATTCCTCTGCCCTCTCCACTGTCTTCCCTTTCTGCCTAATCCCTTCTTGTGAGATTTCACGCTCCTACTCAGTGCTATGAAAGAGGCAGCTGAAGAGCTAAGCCAAAAGTTTATTAAATTCAGAACGGGATTTTCCATAGTCTCACTGTGCTGAGGTGCTGGAGTCTGGCAGGAACTTGAGTGAAAGGCCTCAGGATTAGGGGATGGCAGAGCGGTCCTGGCCTTTGAGAAATTTTAAAATGATCTACTTGCTACTCTTCCCACTGAGCAGAGGTAAGGACAAATCCTTTTTGATGGATGACAGCTATTTAAAGACTTTACGACTTAAAAAATATGTAGAATGTTTGGGTTAAAGAAATCACTAGGCATTTCAAGAGGCAGATATCTTTTTTACTATTCAAAATCGTAACAGAATGGATCATAAAAAGACGACTGAGAATTTATAGGAAGCTGGGAATTAAACATAAAATTTGAAGGTAAAAATGAATCATCTGATATAATAATAAACAGACAAACCCACATTAGATTCAGGAGAAGGTAGGATTAGCAAACTGAAAGACAGACGCTAGGACGTACAACACCGAAACAGGAGGAGACGTGTGTGATATACTGGGAAGGCAAAACATTTTAAAGATGGGGTCCTGAGAAGAGTGTGAGCACCAGACAGCACATTTCAAGACACAACCACCGAGAAATTTCCCGTCTAACAAATATTCAGTACATGAACTCAAGAGAAACCTTGACTCAGAACAAATACAAAGATCACACTGAAGTTGAAATGCTGAGCGAGGAGGAACTCAGAGGAAGAGAGGGGAAACTAAGGTTGGCCCAGCAGCAGAGGGAGATATGGTATCTTACAGTGCTGAAGGAAAAGAACTGTCATCCAGAATTATTCAGAAATATATATTTTTTTTTACCTCAAACAAAACTGAGATCTGTTTCCAGCAACACTACAGAACTAATAAAAATGACCCCATTCCAACACTTTGGAGGCTGAGGCAGGAGTACTGTGTGTTCAAGGCTGGCCTGACCTGTGGAGTGAGATGTCAAAACAACTACCACCTACCTCAGTAATAAAGATAACTATAAAGGTTAACATCAGTTATTACCTGGATGTGTATGTATATACATATATGTGTGTATTAACGATATATGTTTAATTACCACAATAATACAAGAGACAGGAAGACTATTAAAGAAATTAGTGATCACTGAAATGAAGCATGATGGCTTATGTTGAGCTTCATATTTGACCTAAGTTAGCATTATTAGGGAGATGGGCAGCTGGCCTTGGCTATGTTGGATTATCTCGACATTGTTAACTGAGGTGGGAGGTCCCTCCCATTGTAGGTAGCAACATTCTCTGGGCAGGAGATTCTGGATTGTTGAAGAGTGGAAAATGTAAGCTAAGCACTAGTGTGTATTTACTAGTTCACTGTTCTCTGCTCTTTACCACCAATGTGACGTGACTGGTTGTTTCAGCGTTGTACCTGATTTCCTCGCAACAACAGATTATAATCTAGAATAACAGCCTTTCTCCCGTTAGCACTTTCGTCTGGGTGTTTTAGTGCAGCTGCAAGAAAGGAGGCTAAGACAATGAGTAGCAATTTATATGAGTTACTATCAGTGTAAGGATGTGTGTTGTAGTTACTGTGATTATAATAACGTAAGTACATCTTCAATAAATGATAGAGAAGAAATAAAATAAAAATATTTGTTAGAGCCAAAAGCAAGCAAAAATGAGAAAAAAAGCAACATAAACAGGATAAATAAAAGGTAAGGTTGTAGAAACACTCAATTACACAAATAATATTAAATATGAACGGACCAAATATTTTAAGTAAGAGACTAATTAAACTAGATAAAACTTAAGTGTTATGAAAAAAACATCTTAACTATAAGGAATAGAAAGGTTGGAAAATAAAAGGCTGGAAAATTGTAGCATGAGAATGCTAACTAAAATATGATTTAGTTATACCAGTGTTATTAACAAACAGATTCAGAGCATTACTACAGATAAAGAATGATATTTTGTAAGAAAAAAAAAAACTTTCCCCTAGGAAGAGACTATATAATCTTAAGGAAAAAGTGGATATAACTTTGAGAAGTAGATAACTCTACAGCCACAGTGGAGTTTAAAAACACCCCTCAGCAGACAAAACAAATCACCTAGGAAAGGAGATCTGGGCAGCACGATGAATCAACTTGACATAAATGACACATATTAAACAGCACGCCTAATACCAGAATACATGTTCTCGAAAACATGAAACATTTATCAAAGCTGATCATGAGCTCAGTTTTAAAGTAAGCTTCAGTATATACTTTAGAAGATGAATATTACTTAGTGTGTTCTCTGACCACAGGAATCAGTTCCAAAAGGATAAACTGAAAACTTGTTGCAAATACCAGAAATAAACCCCACAGCTTTGGCTATATTGATCGTCCTTTGTACTCAAGGTATTTACAGAGGCAGGACAGAGACAACTCTGCTGACAGGTTTCAGGTTAAGCTTCTAGTCACACTCCTTCAGTGGGCTTTCTGTGCCTGCTCAATCCCATCTCATGTTGAGCTTTCCCCTTTCCCCTCAAACCTCAAGCCCTGGATAATCTTCCTTCTGTTTCACTGAAAACAAAACCAAAAACCAGAAAAGTAACCTAACTAGTGCTCTCTGTATTGCTAAGTTGCACCTAGTGGAGGAATATATTCTTTTGGCTGTGGCTGGTATTCGGACCTGTGTGTATTGGAGCTCACTGACTATATATGGTCTACCTTGATGATGCAGAGCAGGCATTAGCATACACAATCTGGGATAACATTTCTTTGAAAACATTCCTTTGCTATCCCCTACCTCATTTCTTTCTTTCTTTCTTTCTTTCTTTCTTTCTTTCTTTCTTTCTTTCTTTCTTTCTTCCTTCTTCTTCTTTTTTTTTTTTTTTTTTCCGAGACAGGGATTCTCTGTATAACTATCCCCCAGCTGTCCTGGAACTCACTCTGTAGACCAGGCTGGCCTGGAACTCACAGAGATCCACCTGCCTCTGCCTCCCAAGTGCTGGGATTAAAGGCATGTGCCACCAGGCCTGGGCCTCCCTTCCTCATTTCTATACCCTTGGTTTTGCATTGAAACCCCTCCAAACAGTTGCCTGTATCCCCCATCCACACACTATTGTTCCTACTTCATCCCCTTCCCCAGGGTTGCCTTGACTGTTGTCATCTTAGCTGTTCTAACTGAGGTGGTCTATGATGCAGTAAGATGAAATTCGGTTCCCAGACGTCCAAAGCAATACTGGACATCAGAGACCACTGATGCAGTCTTGAGACCCCCTCTGCCTGTTAAAGTATCACTGCCCCAGGTTTTCCTCCTATCTTGCAGGATATTCCTTCTGAGATGTCTTTCTTGGCTGTCTCTCTGCTTCTTGATCTTTAAATGTGGGAGAGCCCGGGCTTCCATCCTTTATCACTTCTCTGCCTGCATACCCTGAATGGTGTCTGCAGACTGTTAGGAGGGCTGGCAAGATGGCTCAGTGGTTAAGAGTGCTTGCTGCTTTTTTAGAAGACCAAAGCAAGGTTCCCAGTACCTGTATCAGGTGGCTCACAACTGTCTGTAACTCCAGCTCTAGGGGATCTGATGATCACATGCACAGACATGAAGCTGCAAATACACATAACTAAAAATAAAATGAATCTGCCAATTTCTCATCAGGTCCCTCTGATGCTGCCACCATCTTGTGCCCAGAACAAGTTCCACTCCATCCCTGTTCTACCTTCCTGCCATTCTTAAGGCAGCAGCTGTACTGATGCTTAGAGACCTTTTGGTGGCTTTCTCTTGCACCTTTCTCTTCTCTCCAGCCTCCTTGGCTTCCAGGACCCTCCAGGGGCTGGCTTCTGTTTACCCCTAAGCTCATTTCCTCCATCCCTTTCCCTCATCACTGTGCGTTGTGCCCACAGTCTGTGTCTTAGGCAGCATTCAGGTCTTAGCTTCTTCTGTTAGCTCCAGAGTAAGAATCAATTTCAAGTAGTCTTACAGCTCCTCGGTCACATTAAATCCACCTTTCCACAGCTCTTCCTCCTTACAGAGCCCTGAAATTCCACTTTCGGTTCTGCCTCCCTGACTAGACTCTCATGCTGGGGCTTCCAGTGGACTCATTCATGGCTTTCTGAGCGTCTACAATAGTGCTGGACCTACAGCAATGCACACTTGATAGCTTTTCTCCCCAGGCCGAGCCTTTCTCACAGGGGAGAGTTGAAGCGTGTGCCTAAAGCAGACATTGGCCCACAATCTCAAGCCTTTCCACTTCTAAGAACTATTACCTGTAAGACCTTCTGGGCTTGAACGTCGACCACAAGGACTCTGTTCAGTGCTGGCTGGGCCACGTAGATGTACCGGTTCCTGACGTTGACTGCAGATGCCCACTGACATGGCTGGCTGGTACCGCCTTCCCCATGAGGACAGATTTCTTCCTGTTAGGAGACAGAGTGCTATGTATCTGATCTTCCACCCCATTTCAACATCTTTAGGATCCCTAGCCATTAACCCTCTCAGATCCCTTTTTTCCTCTCTTCCCAAACTCCTTGGGGTTCATACAGAGGACGTGGCATGCAAGCCCTGCCATGCCCCTAACTCTCACTTGACCTTTGTCCTTCAATACTCATCAAGGCCACTGTGTGCTCAGTTTGCAGATCTTTCTATGTGTAGTGTCCCAGGGCTCATTCGTGGAGTCTCTAAAGTCTGTTTCCTTGTTGATTTCACTGAAACCTATAGCTTTCGTTACTGTCTGAACACTCAGCACTCCCAAATTTTTGTGTGTTTGTATGTAGAAGTTTGCACATGCCTGTAGAGGTTCATGCCACTTCCCCAATGCTGTCCACTTCATTACTCTTCTATTATTATTCTGTTTTTGAGACAGGTTTTCCTTGTGGCCTAGAGTTCACTAGAGGCCAGGTTATCTGGCCAGTGAACCTCACAGTCTGTTGTACCCCAGGCTGGGGTTGCAAACATATAAAATAAATAAATAAATATAAAAGATTTGCTTGCATGTTTGTATGTCTATCACATGTGTGCCTGATGCCTCTGGAGGCCAGTAGAGAGCATCAGCCCTCCCAAAACTAGACTTTCAGATGGTTGTGAATCACCATGTGAGTGCTGGGAACTGAACCTGGGTCCCCTGCAAGAGCAACACGTATTCCCAACCCCTGAGCCACCTCTCCAGCTATGCCCCCTTCTAACGTGGGTCCAAGTGTTTCTAGCTCAGGTCCTCATACTTATAAGGATAAGTTTGTATTTTAGCTAAGTCTCTTCAGAGGAGTCCACTCTGACATGTTGCCTCTTGCTCTACTGTGGAGCTTAACGTGCACCTCAAACTTGTCTGTCTAAAATCAACCTTTAATTCTATTTCTTGCTCCTTCTATACAAAACCAGGAGCTTACTTTTCTCCTCTGTTATGGTCCTGTTTATTTCATAATTTTAAAGCTGGGAACATTGTTTCTTCTGTCTTCTCTGGCACATAGAATCCTTTTGGATTTCCCTGTTACTCTGTGCTAACTCTGTCCTCTGGTTTCTCTTAGTCTGCCTGTCCCTGAGTGGCTGATGGCTCAGGGCTCTATTGGATGTCCATCTTGTCCAATCCTCAGCTTTTGACACACAGATGGTGCCCAGATCTGTATCTTCAGTTCAGAAATGTCCTTCTAGCCCCTGATTGTTTCTTTCATAGGCATCTCAAACTTTACCATCCAGAACGTGCCAGGTGCCCTGACTCCCACACCTGGCCTCTTTAGTATCTTTCCTACTTGGCATCACGGGATGCTATGAAGTCCTGGAGGACAAGACCATGACCCTGATGTCTAACAGAGTCAGAGCTCCACAGCTCAAGGGCAGCTAGACTGAGGAAACCACAGCGAACAGAGTTGGAACCCAGGAAAATGGGAGCAGGGAGGATCTTCCCTGGCCCCTCCTTGTCACCTGTCATGTGATCTACTTGGCTTGATGTTTCATTTGTACCACCTCTGTAACTCTGAGCATCCATTCACATGTGTCCATGCCAAACGGTCACCACAAGAATACCTGTCTAGATGCTGTCTGTTTACCATGCGGGGTCTCTTATTTGACTATGAACTTCTGGAGGTCAGGATCCCAGTGTTCCATGGCCCTCACCACTGCTGGATGGAGGATGGAGAGCTAGAAATTCTCTGGCTCATGCTCCTCTCTTAGCCTGCCACCATACCCACATATAACGACAGGAATTGAAGAAAAGCCAGTCTCTCTGGCCCTCTCCCCACTCCCCATCCCCCACATGGAGTCTGGATTTTGACCATGCATGATACGGAAGCTGCCTCAGCTACAGAAACTCACATAACTCATGAAGATCTTCTCTGTAGGCTTCAGGCGTCTCTGGACCTCACAGTCCACAGGGTGGATGACAACGATGCCATCGTCAGAGAAGACATAGAACATGTTTCCCACGCTGAGGCCTGGGAGGAGGGAACACAGTCTGGTCATGGACTTCCAGCCACTGGTAGGATCACACAAGGCATGGCAGGCAGCATGGTAGAGGCTGAACATTCTCTCCCGGTGGGGCGGGGTTAGACAGCCAGTCCACCATATTTCTTCATGGTAGATGGGACCTTGGAAGGACATGTCCCAAAGGCTGGGAACCAATACAACCTGTCACCAACTCTGTAGGACCCAGTACCTCCTGCTTAGGCAGATAGGTTCCTGTTGCCGGAACCCGGTCCCTCAAGGATGCCCAGGCCGGGGAGCACCTTGATTTCAGTGGCCAGTCCTAGTTGTCCCTTGGAGAATCGTATGGAGCTAATTATAATACACGAGTCTCAATGCTGCTCCATGGCATCTCAGTGATTGAGGCACCATGTCAAAATGCCTCTGGCGTGAATGGCCCACCTGACAAACCTCGGGTTGAAACACAGACTCTGGGACAGCCCCTCTGGGCTGCTTTGAAAGTCAGTCACCAGAAGAGCCAACACCAGATTGACATCTTAATGGAGCCCACACGGGGTTTGTAGATGCGGCTACATTTCCGGCTCAGTGCTGCGCCGTGCTCAGTCAGCGTGGGAATGTGAGAGTCAATACTCATTCAACACACAATCAACCTCACAGGAGACCCAGCCTCCAGATCTACTCCCTAGAAGGTTCTGTTGAAAGCTAGCTTCTGCTACAGGACGCCAAAAGGGCTCTAGTTTCCTTAGCTGCTGTTGTCAGGTTGCATCTCTCTCCTACTAGGATTTGAGAGGGCCCTGAGGCCAGCGGTCCCTTCCTCCTCTCTAGGACTTGAGTATCAGCAGAGAAGGGCAGAGCTTTTCACCACTGAGCTATGAGATGCGATTTGTCTTTATCGTTAGTCTGAACGCAACACCCACCAGCCCTATACTCTAAGGTGACTTCAGTGTGCCTTTGGTCCCTAGACCTGTGTTCCCTGATAAGTCTCCACTGTGTAAACCTGAGTCCTTCTGCAGCAACCCCGGGAGAGCAGCATACCACTGCTTAAAAGAGACAGGGCACAAGAGGAGTGCCCATGGTGGCTGAGGCACCAAGGCTGAGGAGCAGAGAGTGCACGAAGGGTTACAGCCAGCAGCCCTGCTAATGGCCCCTGTCCCTCACATGTACTGTGTCAGGCTCAGTGCCCAGTGCTCAGGACACTGAGCTGGCTCTGTGCACGGGTGTGCCACAGCAGTTTGACTGTGGCCCCTCCCCCACCCCTCTTGGGACATAGGCTCTACAAGGCTGTGGGTGGCTCAGGGAAAGGTGGCCCACTGGAACCAAGAACCAGGCATGACACAGGACAGTCACACACAATACCTTCTTCCCGCCACAAGATGTTTGCCACTGCAGAGGTCGAGGATTAGAGCAGTGATGTGATAGCCAGAAGAGAAAGAAAAGGAAAGGGAAAAATACAATGTCAAACCTTCACTGTTGTGATTCACTCATTGAGGAACATTCCAGGACCCAGTCATCACCTGAAGAATCTGCGTCACTCACTGGTCCAGCAACCATATCAGCCCATGGCTCTGGACCCATGTGGGTACTTCCGGGCCTCAGAATGCTTTTTCTTTGCAAATAAATCTTTAAAATGGAGTCCCAGGATCCCAGCAGCTAACCCCCCTGCCCTCCCTGATTCCATGGGCAATAACGAATGAGGAACATCTCTCCCTCATTTCCTGTGTCCTTCCAGGAAGCTGATCTTCAGTTAGGACTCTCAGAGGAAGAACATTCTCTTATTCAGTGATTAGGGCTTAGCTTGGAGACTGACTGAGGGGGACAGACTGAACAGCACCCAGGCTGTGAGTTCCACCTGGGGAAAGCAGTGATTATAAGGAGAAAGTACACTTAGCCTATAAGGTGGGTGATAATTGCCAGAGGAAAGGCCATTCTGCTCCCAATTGTATATTCCACCTCCTTACATCACAGACAGTCCTAAACCCTATTCATGCTTGTTTCCTCCTATGTGCACGCACACACACACACACACACACACACTATTGATGCAAGAGAATAATTATAATGAAATAATTGTAATGAAAAAGTTATGTAAGGAGCTGGAGAAATGACGTACTGGTTAAGAGCATATGATGCTCTCCCACATCAAGGCAGCTGGCTCATAACCACCTGTAACTTCTGCTTCAAGGTTCTGGACCCCTCTTCTAGCCTCTGTGGGAACCTACACACACAGGCACACTTTTAAAAAAGAACCCTTAAAGTCATTTAAGACTTGTAAGGGGTTCATTTCTGGAATTTCAGATCAAAGGAAGCGTAACTGTAAAGAGGGTACGGCTGTCTGTACTTGCGAGCTTTCAGGCCACTGGATGGAGCACTTGGTGGCATGAAGGCGTCTGTGACTCAGTTTCCAGTCACACATCAAATAAGAGGCAGGAGCAGAGCTGGGGGGTTTTGGGGCTTCCTTGGGGCCCTGGGCTCTGTGTCCTGAGCAGAGACTTCTCTCATCTATGTTTTCGGACCTGTCTAGGTTGCCCAAGGTTGCCATCGGTACCTAGCTTTGGGTACAGAGGAAACAGAGCCTTCAGAGGTGACCGATGGCCCTGGAGAGTTAATGCATTTCTCTTGTCCCCCCTAACTCTCCCATACAGCTCAGTGAGGCTCTCAGAGCCAACAGGGGACTCACGGGTCTTCCTAGCAGAGTCCTCAATGAAGAGGGAGGAGATATCTTCATCCACGCCCACCTCATTCTTGGCAATGCAGGTATAGGCCCCCGTGTCTTCATAGCGAACACTGCCGATGTGGAGTTCGCTTCCATTGGCTGTCGAGGGGACAGTGCTCAGGGTGGTGGTCTCAGGGGGAAACACCCTTTCATGGGCCCTCCCCACCACCTTCTTGGGATCTCTTAAGAATGTTGAGCTAAAACATAGTCCTTGGGTGTGGCTGGGGAGGAGGGGACAGCCAACGTTCCTGGGAGTGGGCCCAGGACAGGCTGGCCCTGCTGAAATACAGAGGGTGACCTGCATTTTGGCCAACGGCCTCTTGGATGCCCACGAGACCTGTGAGGGCCAGTCACCAGGGGACCTCCGCTTCTCTCAACAGGCCAGGGGCAGCCATGATCTTGCCTCTCATTTCCTGTCCTGGGATTCGTGTGCGGTTCTTACCCAAGAGGGAGAGCTGTTTGGACATCTGGGCTGAGACATCCATGCCGTTTTTCAGCCAAATGATTCTGGGCATGGGAATGCCCTCAGCGTGGCACCGAAGGCTGGCAGCCACTCCTGGTTCTTGAGCTTGGGTCTCTGGATAGACACGGATGACTGGTGGCACTGTGGGTGAAAATCAGTGTCGGTCAGCACCAACCCACATGTCGTCTTAGGCCTGTAGTCAAACCCTGAACCCGAGGGGTGACTCTGGAGGCCTCGGAGCCAGTTTACAATGATCATCTTTAGCAACCCAAGCACCGAGGGAGAAGGCAGTAAAGTGGACCATCACTGGCCATAAGCACATACGGTGTGGAACCCTGTAGTTCACGGCTTCCTCCCTTGTTCTGAGTTTGATCAGAAAGACATCCAAATACTTAACACCGTTCAGCTGCGGCAGGTAAAGAGCAACAGCGGCTGGAATTTATCCCCGAATGAGTGAAATTCAAATGTATTATTCCTGTTATCGGAAGGCCATTGGACAGGGCCTTAATTTCTTTCAGGAAATGCTTCGAGAAGCACTTCTGGGCACTGACTGGCAGAGCTGCTAATTACATCACGGTTCAGGGGAAGCCCATCGATTTTCCAGTGGGCCATTTTGATCTCTGCTCTAGAACCTGCGTGAAGGAGGGACATGTCCCCATTGGCTGGGGAGTGACTCAGCTCTGGCCCCTGGTGATTAACGGGCAGCTTGGGTGTATGTCCTGACCCATTGTCTAGATAAGCATGGGTAGGCAAGTTTCTGGCACATTCCACAGCACACTGGCCCTTTTTACAAGGGCAGGCCATGGGGAGGGACTTTAGGGGAACTGGAGATTTCGGGAGGGGGGAGTTCCCCTGCTTGTCCCTGGCAAATTAAAGCACTATCATGTCCCACATTCACCAGGGCTTATGTGTGTTAATGCATTTTACTCCATATACTTTAAAATAGGATTTGAGCATTTATGTAAACAAATTTGAGTATTAAACAAATCACAGACCTGTGGAAAGTAGGGGATGGCTTTCTCTTGAAGCAGATAATAATAATAATAATAATAATAATAATAATAATAATAATTTTTCAGGGCTATGTGGAAGCTCCTTTTTCTCCATTAAAGGGAGAAATCCTGGTGTTTGAGATGAGAGACTTGTCTCTGGGCCAGCAAAGAGAACTTGATACTTATATAGGAGGAGCCTTTGGCACTGATGATGGCATCTGAGTCAGATAGCATCCAGGTGGTCCATGCTCCGTGGACAAAGGACAAAAGAGAAACTCTAGCCCCATTAGGAGCAATGGATCTGCAATTGCTATGGACACTCTTGAGCAGTTTGTTTAGCATCATTATCAACTCAGCTAGAGTTTCAAGGCTTGCCTTGGCTGCCTTCCGGGATGAAGTGGGAAGGAAAGGGGGGGAATCCAAACTAAGCTTGGGGAGCCCCAAGAGCAAGATGTCTGGGCCACCTCCCCCTGGTTCTCTCTGCTCCAAGTTCTGGGGGCTGAGTCCCATGCTACAGCAGAATCCAGGATGATTCTGTCCCAGATCAAGCCATCAAAGATCTACGGTTACCATGGCGAGAAGGGTGGCAGCAGGCAGACGGGCATGCTGTGGGGGCAGTGGTCAAGGGCTTACATCTTATGCAGGAGTTGGAGGGAGCTGTGGAGAGAGCCAACTGAATGGTGCGGGCTTCTGAAATCTCAATGTCTGTCCACAGTGGCATTCCTCTTCTCGGAAGGCCATATCTCCTTATCCTTCCCGAACAGTTCCACCAACTGGGACCAAGTGATCGGATATCTGAGCCTATGGGGGTTTTCATTCAAACCATCACAGCCCTACTTAAGTCGGGATCATAAAACACCGTTAGCCGCTGAAGTATAGCAGGCATTTCAGGAATGCGCTGGGCTAGAGAGATGGCTCCTTGGACAAAGTATTTGCTGTGTAAGTGTGAGGATTTAGCCTTAGATCCAGGAATCTCTATAGAAAGCTGGACTCGGTAGCATGCATCTGTAATCCCAGTTCTCCTGAGGCAAGGTGGGAGGTAGAGACAGGAGAAGCCCCAGATGCTCATGGGACAGCATCAGTGAAGAAGAGGCCTGCCTCAAGCCAGGTGCAATATAAGGAATGGCACCTGAGGTTGTCTTCTGACCTCTACACACCTTCACTCGTATTCACAAAGGAACACAGAGTCACACATACATAACAAAAATAACAGAACTCTGAGTACAGTAGGCTTCAGTCTCTACTAGGATATCTACAATCAAGCCAAAGTTAAAGGTGGCCAAAGAAAATCATTTGATTTTCTTACTAGACACCAACAGAGCCTTTTAAATAGACCCTCCCCCCCATTTCTTGGTGTGTGAGTATGCGAGCCTCATAGGAACAAGACGGTATTTTCTTTCTACAGTGAAGAGCATGTCCACAAAAAGAAGGAACAGCACCAATCCTTTCAGGAAAAAGAAAAGGAGGAAAGTATAGGAAGGAACACTGGGTAACCGATGCTACACTGGTGTGGTCAAGGCAAGACACGAAGGGTGCAGACACTAAAGGATGATGTCGTGTCTCCAATCTCCGTGACCAAACACCCCGCAGAAACAACCGAAGGCATCTCAGCTCACCACTCTTGGGAGGGCATGGTGATGGGTGGGGCTTTTCCTATTGTGACCAACCAGGAAGCAGAGAACGTGGTTGGTCGAAGTGAGCATCAAGTTCAAAGCCTGGCACATAGCAACCTATTTCCACTAGCCACGCCCACCTCCTAAAGGCTCTCCGGCCTTCAAAATAACAAAATAACAAATGGCCTTCAAAACCACAAAAAGGGCCAGATGTTCAGAACAGCCATGGGGGGGGGCATTTTAAAATAAAAATGTTTAAATTTATATTCATTTAAATGTCTGCTTGTCTCTCTGTGCACCACGTGCAAATAGTCCCCTCAGACACGCTCTGACACCCAAAGAGGGCATCAGGTCCCTTGGAACTGGAGTTATAGGAGGTTGTGGGCCACCTGCTGTGGGTTCTAGAAACTTGGTCTTTAGGCAAATACTCTGAGCTCTCTCTCTAGTCTCTTGGAAGGGCATTTATGATTGTAACCATACGATAGAGAAAAAATGATGTTTTAGATAGCTGTACTACAGGATGAAAGACAAAAAAAATGATGGTTAAGATCCCATGAAAACAATATAGAGCCGGTACCAAACATCCCAAATTAATAGCATGCTTGTAGATCAGCATAGACCAGACCTACAACCAGACTGGACCCAAGTGATGAAAACTATAAAATCTTACCAACAGCAAAAGAAAGAATAATGAGAGGGAGGTCATTGATTAGGAAGGCTTCCCATTGTCACAAACAAGATCTGACAAATTAACCCACAGACTTAATCTAATTCCAATTAAAATGGATCCATTGGGGCTTGACAGAATAATTCCAAGTTTATCTAGGAAGAAAAAAAAATTCAATTCATGGCTTGGGGAAACCGAGAAATGACATTGTTCCTTGTCATTTTGCTAAACCAAGATATCATAGAGCAGCACAATACCGAATAGGGGAACAAGGGGCTCCTCTTCTTTGAGCCTAACACCTGACTAAAGACGTTAATTGATCTTGCAAGGCTTTGTCAATTCAATTTTGGGCAGCTGACAGCTACGAAATACCGGCTGGGTGTCAGGCATGGTGCCCACAGCAGTAAGCCTCAGTCCCTTGAGCCGTGGTGAAGCTTTCAGTGTGAGGAAACGGGTGTGAGGGTCACTCCCGGGGGGAGCCTTGGGGAGCAGAGCCTAGCAGGCCTCACTCCCTCCTACAGGAGAGATGCAACCTCCAGCTGGCCCCGTTGCTTGTGTTAGAGCTTGTCCAGGGAACCAGAGACACGAGGAACAGGACTGGCTCCCACAGTGGCTGGTACCAGCCCTGGACACTGGCCTTGGCCTCTGCTCTTACCTCTGACAGGAATGTGCTGTGGACTGGGAAGTTTTCACACTTGTGCAGGATCATCTATCTGATCACACACAATGTACACTTCTCCTTCCCCTCTCCTGAGCCCCACCCAGGGCCTGTGGGCACTGTTCTTGGATGGGAGCTTTTTTCAGACCAATTTGGGAGTAAATTTAAACTAAAATGTGTGACAGTGTTCTAGAACAAAAGGACACCTGACTGAAAGTCAAGGGTGTAGGATGAGTCACTCAGTAAAAACACAAGCCTAGATTCAAGGCACTAAATGTTCCATGGGGAGGGGTAGGGTACGGGGTAGGATGGGACGGGACATCCTCCCCCCCTACACCCACACCCTCACACGCTCTGCCCATCTCCAGGTCTCCTTGAGGGCAAGACAACTCTCCTTGAGGGGAGCCCGAGAAGGACTGAAGAGGGACCTGTTGCCTCACCTCTAACGCCCCTTCCTCGCTAGCTCACCTCAAACCTCTGAGTGGGGCTCACCAGGCTCTTCTGTTATTCTTTGCCCCTAGAACGACATCGTGTCATGCCACCCCGTAGGAACTGCTCTTCTCCGGGTCACAGTGGCTTACACGTGCTGGTCCTGACGCAGCACTCCTCCTCACTGCCCTGTCTGTACCGCACCACACAGCTGAGTGATCTCTCTAAGCTGCTGTCTCCACCTGGCCTCTCCCTCTCACCGGCTCAGCTGGCTTTGCCTCACAACCCTGGCTCTGGCTGCTGGAATTCTTGCAGGTCCCCACCTTCTGTTAGCCTAACCCATCCACTGACTCAACACCCTGGCATATCTGAAAGGCATCCCTCCAACTCAGCCCCTACCCTTAAAGCAGACTTAGATGTCCATCTGCACCCCACCCCACAGGGTGTCTGTCTGGTGGACCCCATACGTTGGTCATGGCCCAAGGAGTTCCTGACCGGCCTTCTCCCATCTGACCTCCTCTCCTTTCAGTAAAGGGCAGACGCCCCTTGCCAGAACATTGGAGGTCGCCCTTGACCTCCCCACCATCTTTCATCAACACTAGCCTCTTGATCTCTCTCGTACCATTCTATGTAAATCACATACATTTCCTCGAATTCTCCTTCTTTCCTTCCTCTCTTTCCTTTTTTCCTTCTTTCCTTCCTTTTATAAATTTCTTTTGCTCCTTGCCATACCCCAACAAGAATGCGGCATGCCAAAGTGTGTTGATTTTGCTGAATGAACGGCTAGGGTATGTGTAGTAAAAGGGAGAGGAGAAGAGCATTTCCCAGCAAATGGAACAAGTACATGGCGGGGTTAGGACTTGGGAGATGAGTAGCCTGGGACACAAGAAAAGGTTATCCTTACCATGCTACTGAAAGCAGGCACCTTCATTTTGCTCTGACAAGGTCCCATGTGGATGCGTCACAGCCCGGGGTTCTCCTCAGGACCTGTCTGTCCTGGTAGACTCTACAGAGCTGGCACTGGGTATGGCCAAAGCTTGTGACTGTGGGGATCAGGGCTGGGTGGGTGTAGGCCAGGTGCTCACCCTGAGCCTGGGCCTCGCCCATAGGAGAGGTTCCACAGGCGGGTGTTGAGTACCTACCCAACTGGACTGTGGCTTCAAAAGTCCTCACGCTAGTTTCATCCTTAGCAGATGGTAAGTTTTAAGCAGGACGCTGTTTGTGGCAAAGCTGCTTGAGGCCAGGCTTTGCCTGCCGTGTTACAGCTCAGAATAGAACAGGATCTGAGAAGACGAGAGTATCTCTGGTCCTGCCCCTACCCACTGGCTCATGGAGGATTATGGCAGTTTACTGTGGAGCCAAGAGGGTAACTCTGGGAAACTGAGGAGTTCATGGAGCTGGAATGGAGGGGGTGGGGAAGGGGAGTATATCCAAAATGAGGCTCGGAGAAGGGCTGGCGGGACTACAGTGCCCTGGCGTGTTTATGTACACAGGAGCAGGGCACATGGCTGTAAGTTGTGTTCAGGAATTTGGGGTCATGGGGTAAACTGCCAATCCAGAAGAGATTCCGTCTCAAAAACAATAAAGTGGGCGGCTCCTCACAAATGGCCCTGAAAGTGACCTCTGGCCTCCTCATGAAGGAGTACACGCCGACACCCACATACCCACCCACACCCCGTTTGTATCCCTAACACAAGGGGCCGTTTTCTCTGAGAACCGTCTCTCATGGCCGAGGTTTAGGCAGCATAAGCGTGTTCTTAAGTAAGAAGTCACAAATGTACCGAACTGGAGTAATAAGCAGATTTGGAGATGATTACTGTGTTTCGGGGATGAATCACCACTTGTCTGAACTGTGGGGAGGTCGAAGGTATTTTTAATTTAATGGATTAATCATTGATGTCTAAAGTTCTCGCTCCTTCCCATGAAAGCAGTGCAGGGACTTTGCAGGAAGTTATAAATCATGTCAGCGCTCAGGCCTCATCTTTGGAAGCCTGTGCCAGGGGTAAGTTATACTAATAATTTGTGCGAGGGGTTGTGGCTTATTGGAAGGGCTCCTTTATGCAGCCACCTAAGTAGGGGATCCTGGAAGATGATGGTGGTAGCCCACTCTGTGTAAGGGATCCCAACCCTGTTACCAAACAGCTCAGGAGCAGCATGGCTCTGGGGGAAACATCCTATATCTTGGATGGTAATTTTCACTGGGCCTTCATTTCCCCATCTGTATAATGTACTGGAGGTCCTGCGAGTGGCCACTAGCTTTGATCATCAGTGTCTACCAGCTATGACTAAAAATAGCTTAAGATAAATCTAAAGTCTCCTCCAAGTCTCTCCTGTATCCCACAGGATTTCCTAAGCATCTTCCTGCCAGTCTAGGAAGGGACCAAAGCAGCCTTCCAACAGCTCAGCTAGGCAGCTGGATTAAACTCCACCCAAGCTGCTCAGGCTCATCTTTCATATCCTCAAGTGTGGGGTAGATGGTGGAAAGGATAGGCTGATGTCACTACCAATGTCCCCCTTTTTCCTCAGGAGACTTTAGCTTTCTGAGAATAACTGGGGCCTTCTTAGCTTTCTAGTCTTTTCCACAGGGCCTCCCTCCTTCAGGACTAAGACACAGCCCACAAAGATCTTTGTCCCCTACTTCTGGAAGATTCCTTCAGTGACCCAGTCCTATTTCCTGGAAACCATGCAACATCAGGAGTCACTGAGCCAGCTGGGGAGCTGGGTGATGCCTAACTATGTGTTCTCCTAACTTCAGTCTCACTGAGGCCAATAGCTAAGCCCGAGACTTCTGGGTCATTGCTTTTTCCTCAGAGTCTCTTTCAATGGCTGGTTCTGACCTAGTATAAACTGTGCACTAGGCTTGGAGACATAGGATGCAGGGCTCCTGTCCTCCGTTTCCCAAGAGTGTGCAGGTCAGAGGACCACAACAAAGACCTGACAACTGCCTACTCTACAGCCCACACCAGGTTCTCTAAGGGCAGTATCATGGCATCCCAGTAGGGTGGGCACTGTCCCTGGGTGTTGTCAACGTCTGTTTGTAGTTATTGACTCGGTGTGTGTGTGTGTGTGTTGAAAACTTCCTGCCCTTTTCTGGGGTCATCAGGACATTACCCTGTATCCTTGGGAGACAATGCTGGAGTCTGTCTTAGCACAGGTAATCCCGTGAGAGTGCCGAGTGCCACACCAGCTGCCTTCGTGAGTGCCAGGAGCTACAGCACCTTATAGGGTCAGCCCAGCTATCCGGCAGGCCACACAGTGAAGTAGGAAGCGGATCACAAAGTGTCCAGCTCCCAGCATCCTCTCCCTACTGTATCAGTGGCCCTTCTTTGGCTAGGAGAGAAGTCTTGTCTCTCTCAATGTTTAGGACATGGATCTATGGACCTCCTTCAGAGGCTGTGAAGGTAAACAGAGCAAGCCGAAGGTGCCCTTCATCCCTAAATGGCTTGCCACTCACCCCAGATCCTTGAGGTCAGTGAAGGTGAATCTCATGATGTCATCATCCCAGTAACCTCACTCACTCTCTCCCGGAAGAATTTCCAAACATCAGTTGTCACCGGGGATCTGGGGGCTGAGTTGAAGGCACCTCACTGTTCCCCAATACCCGAGTACCTGCTCCAGACCTGATCAGTGACAGCTAGGGTTTGTGGGATGAGACATGTTGGTCCAGGATAGGGGCGGGGCCAGGCTGAGATGGACAGCAGTGAAATAGGGGTAGGCTCTAACTCCAAAAAGGCGGCAAATGGTTGTGGCCCCAGCCAAGTGACCTTCCTTAAAATTCATCCATAAAGTGGGTAACAGGATATCCATTTGAGAGTCTATGCTTATCTCAGGGCCAGCTACAAATGTACTCACAGACTCTGGCTTGGAAAACTGCTCGGTGGGGGAGGGGGCAACCAGGAGGGGTTAGTTCTTCCCAGCCTTCAAAATTGCTGGCAACATCTGGACCTGAGCGAGGGAGAGAACAATCCTTCAAACCTTTCCATCTTCACTGGATGAAGATGGAAGACAGGAGGCTCATGGGGTCCTGTGGGGGAAGGGCTGCTGAGAGAGACAGTGCCTCCAAGATGCCAAGCCTTGTGGTGTCATGTCACCTGTAAGAGCAATGGTTGCTCAGACACAGGTTCTGCAATTGCTGGACCCAGAGCTCAAGCTCATGTGGACCCTGTAGGCCACACATGCCACATACTTTACAGTGGCCCGCTGGAGCCTCAGCTGCCAAAGGGACTTGCCTGTGTGACTCATCCCTGACCCCCCTCCTCCAGCATTTGGATTCATTTCACCCGAGGAAGCCTTGGCTCAGCCAGACCCAGCCCTTTCTAAGCTGTTCCCTCTATTACAGCAAGTGAGCTACTTAGGTCTGTAATAAGACAAAATGCGAGAGAGAATAAGGCTTGTTCGGAGCAGTGAGGAGGGAGCCTTGAAGGGACAGCATGCACGGAGCCATTTACTAACCATTCACCTGCAGGACGTGGGTCTGGAACAGCTGCTCGTGGCCCAGGGCATGGCAGGTGTAGTTGCCCATGTGGATTGTGGTCACCTTGGTGATGTACAGGGAGTCATCCTCACCGAAGTCCTGTGGGACAAAAAGAACGATGGTGAGATTCACTTCTCTGCTCAGCAGACTGCCTAGCTGTTGAGTTAGCTTTCTGCCTCCCTGGCACCTCCTTTGAGGCTTCCGCTCTCCAGTCAAATCCCCTCTAGGCCCTGGAAATGCTGGCTTGTTTCACACGAGTCTTGCTCATCTGGTACAAGGCTTGATTCTAGAGGGAAGGGCTGGTTGAGAGCAAGGATTGGCAAACTTTCTTAAAGGGCTAGGTAGTAACTACATCAGCCTCCAGAGTCTTCTGGCTTCTGTCAGCTTTTTGGCTCTGCCATGACAGCATGACAACAGCCAGGAAGATATGCATATGAATGAGTGTGGTTGTGTTTGATGGCATCTAGTGTGGCTCAGCAGTCCTTGCAGCCTCCCAGGATGGCTCTTCCTAGGTCAGGGCACAGGGGAGGGGTTCAACAAACAGAGGGCACCGGCACCTCCCTGGTTTGCTGTGTTCTTTCTTGAAGAGCTGTTCACGAAGCAGGGTCCTTCCGGGCACCAGCTGCAGACAAGTTAGGACTCAAGATTTCTTAGTTGTCCATGGAACTCTCTCAGTGGGTTTGGCTTTAGCTGCCAGACATCTTCAAGGACATGTGGCCTGGCACTCCTGAGACCTGGAAGGCCTCAGCTTATGGGTAAAAAGAAAGGGCTGGCCAGGATGGGTACTGCATGCTGGAGACATGCAGCATGGGGACTCAGGAGACCCAGAACTGGCTGAGGCTCTGCCACCGACCAGAAGCCCTGTCACCCCTCACCCGTAAGCTGTGGACGATACATATGCTCTGTCTGCCTGACAGGGCTGTTGGCAACCCAGCAGAAGAATGCACAGGAAGCCAAGTGTAGGGGTACATGCCTGCCATTCCAGCACTTGGGAGGTGAAGGCAGGAGGATGAGGAACACTTGTAAGCTTGAGGCTAGCCTGGGCTATAGGAGACCCTGTCCTGGTTTGCTTTCTGTCGCTGTGATAAAACACTGACGGAAACCAACTTGGGGAGGGAAGGGCTATTTCAGCTTACGGGTTACGTCAGCAAAGGGAGTCCAGGGCAGGAACTTGAGATGGAAGGAACTGAAGCAGAGACCATGGCTTACTCCGCCATCTTCCCAAAGGTGCCACCACCTGAAATGGTCTGGGCCTACCTACATCAATCATTAATCAAGGAAAAGCCTCCACAGCCTTGAATCCAGGCCAATCTTATAGAGGCAATTCCTCCCAGGTGACTGTAATTTGTGTCAAGTTCAAACCAAATCCGAAGCAAAGCAAACCAATCCAAACCAATCTAAACCCAAGAAAAAGGAATGCACGTAAAAATGTTTTCTGGTACAGGAAAGCATGGCATACATACGGAGCATTACTTTTCCTGTTGTTAGCACCCGGTTCTCTCTCCTACCTGCTCCTGTCTTCTCTGAGCTTCCTCTGTCTGCAGAGGCCCTGTGGCGGCAGGACTTAAGGCCGCCAGCTCCCAGGATGTTAACGCATCACGCCTGCCACTGCAGCAATGACACTCTCCCTTGTGTGACCCCAGGACCTGATCAGAGCCGCATGAATCCCTTTAAAGATGTTCTTGGAGGACACGGATGGGGCTCAGTTGGTAGAGCGCTTGCCTAGAGCGCACAGAGCCTGAGTGTGATACCCAGAAGCACTTAAACAGGATGTGAGGGTGCACACACCTGCAGTCCCAGCAGGAGGAAGTTGGAGGATCAGGAGTTCAAGGCCATCCTCAGCTATATAGTGCATTCAAGGCCAGTCTGGGGTACATGAAGTTGTGTTGATAGGAGAAAGAAAAAAAAAAGTTGCTTTTGGGCTAAATTAGCCCAATGAGGGATGAGAGAAAGGCACAAAATAGTGGCAGGAAGTCTGATATTGCACATGGTTCCTGATTTCAATATTAGTAAAAAAAAAAAAAAATGGCCCCACCATGCTCTGGAAGCTACTGGAACTCTCCACACTGACTGGGAAACATCACTGATTAAGAGAGACCACGCCTCCCATTCCGAGGGAGCCTCAGTGATAAGAGAGCATGGCAGACAGCTGACTTATCCTATGTCATAATACAGACACAAGGGCTCACACCTGAGCTGCTGATGAAAAACTGATGGCTGGTCAATGCTGGGATGACATATTTCTGTCTGTTTTCTGAGTCAGAATATAAGTATCGAGAAAAATATATTTTTGCTTGGAGTCTAGTGGTGGGATGGCAGGCCTCTGGAAGACACTGGGAGGCCAGGTGCTGGCCCTTCTCTCTGTGTGTGTATTGGCCGGGGGGGGGACGGACGGACGGACTTGGCTCATCTTTATGGGGAGGGGAGCAGAGAGGCGAATTCAGTGCTCACCATGGTCAGATCCAGGCAGACTCCATCCCAAAGTGTGTAAGCGGAGCTGCTTGCTGGGAGTCTGGTGCAGGGTCACTGGATCTTCTTTCTTGACTCTTCACATGAGAGCCCTGTTAGGGTCCTTGAAGGTAACCCCAGGCTCCCCTAACCCCTTCCTGTGGTTCCTGCCTTGTCTGGGTTGCTAGTCACCTGGACAACTGGGTTTTGGAGATTGAGGTGAGGTGGCTGTCTAAAGTCAAACTCCCGGGGATCACCTGAGAGTGGTAACCCAATTACCATCAGCACACAGAGTTCAACTTGTGTCAGGTCTGATATGTGGCTAGCCCTTCCTGACTGCCAGTGTTCTATACCTAGAGATAGATAGGGGAAAGAATAGTCAGAAAAAAAAAAAAAGTACCTGAACAGACCTTTCCCTGAGTAGTATTGTGTAATTAGCTGTTTATGTAGCATCTACACCATTTTATACCATATACATTATGTAGAGATGGTTTAGGGCAGGGTATACATAGATATGCAAATGCTGTGCCATTTTCTACAAAGGACTTAAATGTCTCCAGGTTTACATCACCCTGTTTTATCCTCTGGGGAAACCCCCAAACATAGAACAGCCATCCAGTCCCACGGGATGAGTCAGTAGACTATTTGAAAATATCTGATTTCCCTTTCCATTTCTGCTGTGACACCTTGCACCCAGCCACCACGGTCTCATCAGGGGACCAGAGACCCCCCTATCATTCATTGTCCCCCTGCAGCCTGCTCACCCACACAGCTCTCCACAGGCTTTTCCAAGCAAACGCTAGATGGCGCACATCTTTGGGGGATGGCGGCGGTGCGGCCCCATCAGCCTTCCACTCAGCTCCCGCCGCTTGCCACCCCTCCTCCCGGGAGGCTGTCACTTATCTCCAGCTCCTCCAAGGGTGCCCGCCTCTCACCTGACCTCCAACCCCACTGCTCCTGCTTCCTTCTTCCTGTGTCTCGACGCCATGTTGGTGCCTTCACCACCTGTGCAACCCCCTCCGCCAGGGGAAGGGAGGCTTCTCTGTGCTCACTGCTGTGTCCTCAGAGCTGAGTACAGCACTCCCTGTTCGGCGGTATTTACCACTTTGTGAGGCTTTCTTCCGGGACAGAGTCAGGTTCTGGTGTCATCTTGTTCCCACATCCTATTTCTTCTCTGTCCTGTAGTCCTCTGAGGGACTCAGTTCTTTTGCATCCTTCAGGTCAGGGCGTCTGGGATGGACTGAGGGTTTGTTTGGCCCCGGGCAGCAGCAGACAGAAATGCCACTGTACGGAGCCCCGGACTGTGGACTGCGCACCTCCGAAAGAGTGTTTTAGACTCCGTCTGCCTCTCTCGCCTCTTAAGAACAAGTCCTTGCTCCCTGTGACCAGAGCATGGCCCTGGGGTAGCGGTCCTGTGAAAAGAGCCGCACCAGCCCCGAGGGGACCTGGGAGCTGGCCAGATGCTTTAGAGCTCCCTGTTAAGTGGCGAGCACATCACCACCTGCAGTGTCAGCTCGGGGAGAGCCCGCCTCTGTAATAAATAAAATAATCTCTCTAGGCTAAAACAATAGGCATCATATAATTACAGAACGGAATGCATATTGTTTTCTGGATATGAATACTGGCTGCAGAAATCAAATTACCTCATTGGATGTGAGAGAATTACTTTAAACATTGATTTATAAGAAGCTACATAAAACTAAGCCTGCAATCTTTCCTCTTCTGAATGCTTCCTGAGATGTGTCTGAATACTGCTATCAATGCTTGATTGCCTCTCTGTAATTGTTTTTTTATGGATAGCTTTTTCCCTCTGATACATAGAAATGTATTAGCAAAACCAAAGTTCCTTCCCGAAATAAACAGATGCCAGATTAGACCATTCTTTGTATGGGTGCACATCCATTTTTTGGGGAAGAGACAATTTTACTTAAAGACATGATGTTTGTCTATTAAAAAGCGATTTTCTAAGTATTTGCCCTTATTAGAGAAAGTAATTAGATGAGACTTCAGTATTAAACAGTAGTTAAGCAGAGAGGAGGTGGGGGATGCTTCCACGGTGACATGCTAGAGTCAGGAATAAGTAATGTCACAATGAGCCGCCAAGGCTGAATATCTGGTGACTCAGCGTTAAGCACAAGGACTCTAGGGTGACACCAGAGTTCAGCTGAACCACACTGTCAAAGTTACAAGCTGAGGCTCGGCTTGGAGACATTTATCCAGAACTTTCTAATGCTGCTCTTCCAAGAAGCATCGCTGAGGGGCTGGAGAGGTGGCTCAGTGGTTAAGAGCACTGACTGCTCTTCCACAGGATCTGGGTTCAAGTCTCACCACCCACATGGCAGCTCACCACCATCTCTAACTCTAATTCCAGGGGGATCTGACACTTGCTTCTGGCCTCCTGGGGTGCCAGGCATTCGCATGGCATACATGCAGATAAAACACCAATACAACAAACAAACAAACAAACCCAAGGAACACCTCTGGGTCTCCTTGGGGGCAGAGTGTAGACAGGGGTCACTGATTCCCCACTGGCTTGAGTCTAGCCCCTAAGATGTCCCTCCTCCTGGTCTCCTGCCTACAGTGTGGTCCCCACACTGAGTGACAGCCCAGTAGTAGCCAACACTCAGAGACATCCGAATCACATGTTTAGT